GCGTGCAGTGACGTTAGATGGGAAACGGGGTTAAGTGGTGGAGCGTGGGAAATCTTGACGACAGTCACTTTGCAGAGACCTGAAGCGCATGCTGCCAAATGTGAGCATGAAGCCAAACTGACTCTGCAGACACTGCGGGAACTGGCAATCCCAGTGCCGCGCGTGACATGGAGTGCGCGCGGTTCAGTTCAGTGCCGGATTCAGCTTGTAACCGATCGGATGGTGCATTTGCGTGTAGGCATGACAACTGTTTCAGTTCAAGCAAGCTTTTCAAGACAGACGTGATGTGCGTGCAGTGACGTTAGATGGGAAACGGGGTTAAGTGGTGGAGCGTGGGAAATCTTCAAGACGACAGTCGCTTTGCAGAGACCTGAAGCGCATGCTGCCAAATGTGGGCATGAAGCCAAACTGACTCTGCAGACACTGCGGGAACTGGCAATCCCAGTGCCGCGCGTGACATGGAGTGCGCGCGGTTCAGTTCAGTGCCGGATTCAGCTTGTAACCGGTCGGATTGTGCATTTGCGTGTCGGCATGACAACCGTTTCAGTTCAAGCAAGCTTGTCAAGACAGACGTGATGTGCGTGCAGTGACGTTAGATGGGAAACGGGGTTAAGTGGTGGAGCGTGGGAAATCTTGACGACAGTCACTTTGCGGAGACCTGAAGCACATGCTGCCAAATGTGGGCATGAAGCCAAACTGACTCTGCAGACACTGCGGGAACTGGCAATCCCAGTGCCGCGCGTGACATGGAGTGCGCGCGGTTCAGTTCAGTGCCGGATTCAGCTTGTAACCGATTGGATGGTGCATCTGCGTGTAGGCACGACAACCGTTTCAGTGCAAGCAAGCTTTTCAAGACAGACGTGATGTGCGTGCAGTGACGTTAGATGGGAAACGGGGTTAAGTGGTGGAGCGTGGGAAATCTTGACGACAGTCACTTTGCAGTGACCTGAAGCGCATGCTGCCAAATGTGAGCATGAAGCCAAACTGACTCTGCAGACACTGCGGGAACTGGCAATCCCAGTGCCGCGCGTGACATGGAGTGCGCGCGGTTCAGTTCAGTGCCGGATTCAGCTTGTAACCGATGGGCTGGGGAGTTCGCATGCAGGCATTGCGACCGCCTTGCGTCCCTAACTTGTGTACTGAAGTCTTCTTATTTCTTAGCTTGAAATATACAAGCCCTAAACCTGAATGACATCCTGAGCCCTCAACCCACCCTGAACCCCTAATCCCTAAACCCCCAAACCCCCAAACCCCAAACCCTAAACCCTCAACCCTCAACCCTAAACCCTAAACTCTAAACCCTAACCAACCGTAACCCCTAAACCCCTAAACCCCTAAACCCCTAAACCCCTAAACCCCTAAACCCCTAAACCCCTAAACCCCTAAACCCCTAAACCCCTAAACCCCTACACCCCTAAACCCCTAAACCCCTAAACCCCTAAACCCCTAAACCCCTAAACCCCTAAACCCCTAAACCCTCAACCCTCAACCCCAAACCCTAAACCCTAAACCCTAACCAACCCTAACCCCTAAACCCCTAAACCCCTAAACCCCTAAACCCTTAAACCCCTAAACCCCTAAACCCCTAAACCCCTAAACCCCTAAACCCCTAAACCCCTAAACCCCTAAACCCCTAAACCCCTAAACCCCTAACCCTTAAAGCCTCCTTCGCCCCTGAGGGCCGACGCCCTCAACACCGGCAGCAGCAACTCCTCTGGCCGTGAGGAATCCATGGTTCCGGTGCCCTAGCAGCGATGAGTTGTTTTTTTTTTTTTTTTTTTGGGGGGGGGGGGGGGGTTAGGGATTAGGGGGTTTTAGTAGGGAATGAGGGAATTCGGGCCCTATATATACCCTGTAAGGGATTGCAGAGGTACCTCATTCCCTCATTCCCTACTAAGAACCAGCCTGTTTAAAGGGTTTGGGGTTTAGTGTGGGGGGGTGGGTCTTGCCTTGGGGACTAAATGAACCCTGAAAGGGTGTATGGTTCATATACCCTAATAGGAATTATAGTAGTGTAGGGTATATGACCCCAATTTTAGGGTTCATTTCGTCCCGAAGGTAGGGCTTCCCCTTCTTTGAGCTGTTGTGGTTCTATACCCGTCCGTATGGCAAGAGTAGGTGTTGTGGCAACAAGGATACTCGTCATATCTAACATGCCTTGAACACTAAACCCTAATCCCTAAACCCTAAACCCTAAGCCCTCACCCCTCAACCCTCAACCCTCAACCCTCAACCCTCAACCCTGAACCCTGAACCCTGAACCCTAAACCCTAAACCCTCAACCCTCAACCCTCAACCCTAAACCCTGGTGTTCGGCTTTCAGCGTCCAGGGTTTGTGGCTCTTCTGAGGCGGTGGAATTCAGCATCTCGCGACTCGGCGTGACTCTGGCTCTGCCTCTGGAAGGTTCATGGTACTTGTTAGCCAATTAGAACTGTACTTGTAGGGTTTAGGGTTTAGGGTTTGGGGTTTAGGGTTTCGGGTTTAGGGTTTAGGATTTAGGGTTTAGAGTTCAGGGTTTAGGGTTTGGGGGATTATAACTGTACTTATAGCCGTACTTTTAGCCATATTAGGGCACTTAAGGGGCTTACAAGTGGGTGAGAAGTACAGTTATCATTGGTTAGTAATCCCTAAACCCTAAACCCTAAACCCCAAACCCTAACCCCTAAACCCTAAACCCTATAAGTACAGTTATCATTGGTTAGTAAGTACCATGAACCTCCAAGCGGCTCTGCCTCTGGGAGATTTGGGCGGTTTAACGCGAGAGTTTGGGGTTTAGGGTTTAGGGTTAAGTGTTTAGGGTTTAGGGTTTCGGGCAAAAGTGAATCCATACAAATAAGGCAGGGTTTGAGGGTTTAGGGGTTGAGGGTTTTTTCGGGCTTGGGGAGGTGGCCGAGTTCAGTTGTTAAGGGTCCCGGGTCGAAACCCTCAACCTTAAACCCTTAGCCACTAAACGCCTAAGCCGGGTTTAGGGTTTAGGGTTTAGGGTTTAGGGTTTAGGGTTTAGGGTTTAGGGTTTAGGGCTTTCGCCTTAAACCCTATACCTGCCCCCCGGGATGTCGTCCGGCTGTAACAAAAAGCAGCCTGAAAGCCCAAACCGCCGTTTATGGCTTAGGGTTTAGGGTTTAGGGTCTAGAGTCCAGGGTTGAGGGTCTAGGGTTGAGGGTGTCGGGCTGAGGGCCTGAGAACTATTGCTACTTGCTTAAGAGCCCCCCAAAAAACAAACAATAAGAATACCCTTATAAGGAAGAATCTTTTCTTATTTTATTATTATTATTATTATTATTATTATTATTAGTATATTATTAGTATTTTTTGTTTTTGTTTTTTTTTTTTTTTTTTGGGGGGGGGGGGGGGTTCTCAAGCAATTGGTAGACTATGGGCGTTGAGGGCATGATGCCAGCCGTCGTGGAGTTGGCGGGCATTGTGCGGGCAGTCCATGAGAGGGGGTGGTAGGGTCTAGGGTTTAGGGTTCAGGGTTTAGGGTTTCGGGTTTAGGGTTTAGGGTTTCGGGTTTAGGGTTTAGGGTGCGTGAAAAAAATACCGATTGTGGCAACTGCAACTGTATGCATTTGGAAACAACTTGAGCATTTGTTGGTCCTCTCTTAACAGCCGAAAAGATTCTAGCGGCTACTATAAGAGGCACCCCAAACCCTGCACCCCAAACCGCCCTAAAACCTATTCCAGCAAACCCCACAAACTCTTAGACACCAACCGTGGACCCTAAAACCTAAACCCTAAACCCCAAACCCCAAACCCCAAGCCCTAAACCCCAAGCCCTATAGTTCTTAGGCTGTCGAACTCTCCACAGACCGATGCAGCCTGGGCTGAGCTCAGTGAGCCCCGGCTGAACTCTGCTCTTGGGGGTTTAGGGTCCAGGGTTTAAGGTTCAGGGTTTAGGGTTTAGGGTTTAGGGTTTAGGGTTTAGGGTTTAGGGTTTAGGGTTTAGGGTTTAGGGCCTCTGGCCCTCCCGGGTTGGGGGTTTAGGCTTTCGGAATTTTCATGTTCAGGGTTCAGGGTTTTGGGCTTAAAGAGGGCTTTGCTGGTTTAGGATTTGCGGGATGTGAAGGGTCTAGGGTTTAGGGTCGATACCCGGGGTTCTTAGGTGCTCAGGGGTTTAAGGTTTCGGGGGACACAATGACGCTTGAAATTGGGATCGTGCTCGGTCCACATCAAGGGGCCATTCAACTACCCTAGGAGAGTCAAGCTAAGAGCTCCGATCCCCTAAGCCCTAAGCCCTAAGCCCTAAACCCTAAACCCTAAACCCTAAACCCTAAACCCTAGGGCTTTAGGGGGCTCCCATGCCCTTTCCTTTGTTTGCGCACAGACCGCGGCACTTCCATCTATGCACGCTATGTTTTGCATTCTACAAGGGGGGGAGGGGGGGTTGGTGCTAACCTAGGACCCAGAGTAGGCCCTTATTCCCTTTTATAAGCACCTCTAAACCAAAAGGGGAATTACCCTTTTCATTCCTAGGTTCCTCTTGATTGACCCCTAAACCCTAAACCCAAACCCTGAACCTCCCACTCTTGGGTCCAGGCTGTCAATTGCAAAGGGTCTAGTAAATTAGGGCCTGCTGTTTGTGGATAAGTCTCCTCCGCCAAAGCTTTGCGCAGTTGGGGGGGGCGCCCCCGCCCCTTCCCTCCCCTCCACCTCCCAGCTACATCCTAAACCCTAAACCCTAAACCCTGAACCCTAAACCCTCAGCCCTAAACCCTGAACCCGAAAACCTGAATCCTGAACCCTAAACCCTAAACCCTAAACCCTCAACCCTCAACCCTCAACCCTCAACCCTCAACCCTCAACCCTCAACCCTCAACCCTAAACCCTAAACCCTAAACCCTAAACCTAAACCCTAAACCCTAAACCCTAAACCCCCTAAACCCTAAACCTAAACCTAAACCCTAACCCTAAACCCTAAACCCTAAACCCTAAAACCTAACCCTAAAACCCCCCCCCCCCCCCCCCCCCCCCCCACCACTCCTCAAAAGTCTTCCTCGCCATGGTGGCAAGTTTCGCGTCGGCCGCGGCAGGGGCTGCTGTGGCCATCTTGGCGTCGCTCGGCTGCGCCCTGAACGATCCTTTGCTTCACTTCTTTTTTTGTTTAAAGGGGTTTAGGTTTTAGGGTTTAGGGTTTAGCGCTTAGGGTTTAGGGTTTAGGGTTTACGGTTTCGGGTTTAGGGGGAACACTGCACACATAAAGTGAGAAGCAGGTGATTAGGTAAAGGTAAGTAGATGTAAAGTGAGAAGCAGGTAATTAGATAAAGGTAAGTAGATGTTAAGTGAGAAGCAGGTAATTAGATAAAGGTAAGTAGATATAAAGTGAGAAGCAGGTAATTACATAAAGGTAAGTAGATATAAAGGCACCCGCCCACATAGGTAGGTACATAAAAGAAGCCAAGGGCCCCCAGAAGGTCCACGTTTCTCAGCTGTAAGGTTTCATTCCTAAGCCCCAAGCCCGAAAACCTACATTTTCAGCCTTTTAAGCCCTTTTTTCAGCCTTTTCAGCCTTTTCAGCCTTTTCAGCCTTGTCAGCCTTGTCAGCCTTTTCAGCCTTTTCAGCCTTTTCAGCCCTAAGCCCTAAACCCTAAACCCTAAACCCCAAACCCTAAACCCTAAACCCTACTGTAAACCCTAAACCCTAAACCCTAAACCCTAAACCCTAGACCCTAAACCCAAAACCCAAAGCCCTAAACCCTAAACCCTAAACCCTCAACCCCAAGCTCTTGGTTTGGGCCGCCCTGGCAATCGACAAAATGAGGGTTTCCAAAATTAGGGGTACTTTATTGGGGTAAGGCAATCCAAACATTTTTGGCGGTCTATATTCGGGGTCCCTTATTTTGGCAAAGATGAGGCTGTCCCCAAAACAGGGTATTCCGGAGTAAGGCTTAACCCTGAACCCCAAACCCTAAACCCTAAACCCTAAACCCTAAACCCTAAACCCTAAACCCTAAACCCTAAACCCTAAACCCTAAACCCTAAACCCTAAACCCTAAACCCTAAACCCTAAACCCTAAACCCTAAACCCTAAAACCCTAAACCCTAAACCCCAAACCCAAAGCCCTAAACCCTAAACCCTAAACCCTAAGCCCTAAGCCCTAAGCCCTAAGCCCTAAGCCCTAAGCCCTAAGCCCAGGCTCCTTGCCGTGGCAGCTTCCTCCCTGGCCTTCTGGGGCCGACGCGGACTTCAACAAAGGGATGTTGCTCAGATGCTGCGTAGGAAGCCTTGAGAACCTTCTAAGGGTTTAGGGTTTAGGGTTTTTAGGGTTTAGGGGTTAGGGTTTAGGCTTTAGGGTTTAGGCTTTAGGGTTTAGGCTTTAGGGTTTAGAGTTTAGGGTTTGGGGTCTAGGGTTAGTAAGTGACAACTTTGTAACCCAGCAGTACCCCCTTTTCCCCTTCGTTGGTTCAAGGTTCCCAGCCAAACCCCGCAAAAGGCACCCTTATTGTAACATGGTTTAGGGTTTGGGGTTTAGGGTTTAGGGTTTAGGGTTTTAGGGTTTAGGGTTTAGGGTTTAGGGGTTAGGGTTTAGGATTTAGGGTTATTGTAATATGGTTTTTCCTGGGCTGCCAAGTAGTGTTTAGGGTTTATGTAGCCTTCAACCTGCTTAGTTACTTGCTACAAAGCCCTTGATAGCCCAAAGTTCAAGCTTCTTCGCCCTAGTTATGCAGGAATATTGTTGTGCCTTCCTCTACTGGGTTCACACGTTTGAGACGATGATGTTTTGGAATCCTTTTCATGCCGCCTAAACCTTGAGCCCTAAACCCTAAGCCCCAACCCCGAACCCTAAACCCCAAGCCCCAAACCCCAAACCCCAAACCCTAAACCCTAAACCCTAAACCCTGAACCCTAAGCCCCAAACTCTAAACCCTAAACCCTAAACCCTCAAGGGCCAACCGAGGTTGTTCAGCAGGGCCACGCCCAAATGTCCGCACGGGACTGGCTTTGCGGCTTTGGGGCCGATGATTCGGCGTCTTGCCTTGCCAGGGTGTAGGGTTCAGGGTTCAGGGTTCAGGGTTTAGGGTTTAGGGTTTAGGGTTTAGGGTTTAGGGTTTAGGGTTTAGGGTTTAGGGTTTAGGGTTTAGGGTTTAGGGTTTAGTGTTTAGGGTTAGGGTCTAGGGTTTAGGATTACGGAAGGGAGATCCCAGGTGAACACGGCCTCACTTCGCTGGGCTGATGTGGAGAATGCGGTGGAGAGCAGCTGCGGGTTCGTCAGCAGCTCCTTGGATACTGTACGTTTCGCCTTGTTACTTGGCAGCACGGTGGCGCCCTGTTTAGGGTTTAGGGTTTAGGGTTTAGGGTAGTTCCTATGAGGGTACTTGGTCGGTCAGTGGTACCCTTTTGCCATTTTGCTGGTTCTAGTTTCCCTTAATTATACAGTACCCAACCCCCAAAAAGGGGTACACTTGCTACGATATGCCTGCTACCAAGGTTTAAGACGCACAAGACAGCCGGCGGTACGGTGGCGGCAACGCTGTTTCGATCGGCCACGGCGAAAGGGTTGCGCTGGGTCGGCTGCGATGACAAGAGCAACTTTGCGAAGAGCAGCATCCTCTGCGAGTCCCGCAAGCCGCGATCACTGAAGCTGAAGAGCAAGTACCTGGGACCTTATTTACCTTCAATTTAGTACTAAGTACCCCTAGCCTAGCCCCTAAAGCCAAAACCCTAAAGCTTTAAACCCTAAGCCCTAAACCCGAAACCCTAAATAGGGTCCCAGGTACGATTTCGAGATGCGACATCTCATGGGAACATTCTGGACTTCAGCCCCGCAGCCGCAGATGTGCGACGCAGATGGAAACTTCTTTGACCGAGTCCTCAATGGATACGAGACTAGGTACGCCCTTGGGGGACATTTTACATATTCCCTCGTTGGGATTAAGAGGATCATATTCATGAAGCCCTAAACCCTAAACCCTGAACCCTAAACCCTAAACCCTAAACCCCAAACCCCAAACCCTAAACCCTAAACCCGAAACCCTCAACATTTTTCCGAGGCTTTTGTATGGGCCATCCTAGGAGAGACTCCTTGGCCCTGGTGTTCATGTTTTCCTGCCGGTGCGTGGAGCTTATTCTCACTTGCGGTCCACGCTTGCTTGGTACCAAGTGCCGTTCCTTGGAGACGAAAGGAACGTTTAGGGTTTAGGGTTTAGGGTTTAGGGTTTAGGGTTTAGGGTTTAGGGTTTAGGGTTTAGGGTTTAGGGTTTAGGGTTTAGGGTTGATGGCTCATATAGCCTGAATAGGAACTCTAGTAGTAAGGGGTACATGACCCCAATTTTGGGGTTCATTTTGGTCCCCGAGGTTCAGAAAGTTCGACGCCGACGAGAGCAAGTGGAACCCCCTCGCGAAGGACCTGCGTCTGCTCAAGCCGGCTCATGTGGAGCGTTTTGCTTCGCACTGGCCGATCCTTGGGGACCAGCTGAGCCTTAAAAGGGGTTTATGGTTCATAATACCCTTCTAGTAGGAACCATAGTGGGATGGAGTAGAGGATCTCAATTTTGGGGCTTCCTTTGGTCCCCGAGGTTTGGGCGCCCAGGGAGGATGCACGTCATTCTGACCGAGGAGCTGTCGGCGTCGATGGTCATGCTTCGAAGGGTCTTGAAGTGGTCGCTGAGAGACGTCCTCTACTGGTCAATTCATGACAACAAGACGGCAGCAGCGGATAGACCTGCAGCAAGGAAGAAGAAGTTGAGGACGAATGCTACTTTCGATGGCATGCCTGACGCCACCGCCCTGGCACCGGGCCGCTTGAGCTGGGACGAGCAGCTGAACGCCGCACTGCGCCCGGTCTTCGCGGATGAGCGACAAAGCTTTCGGCTCGAAGACCCCGACTTTGAGCGGGAAGTTGCTGCACTCCGGAGGATTAACTCTGTCCTTCCGCGCGTCTGCGCGGAGAAGGATGCGCACCCGCCCGGCAGCTTCCTGGCAAAGCACTGCCGGGCGGATAAAACTCTTGACGTGCTTACGAGCAAGCACCGGCGAACTCCATCTTGCCGAGGAAAACTAGGAGGCTATTCTTTTGGGTAGGCCCTTGGCATATTGTACATTTTCCCTTATTGGCTTGAAGAGGATCATATTCAGGAATGTTTTGCAGAGGGTTTTACTACGGGCTATCCTATTTTCTTTTATGAGATATTTTAGATATCATATCATTACTAGGGCAGGGGACGTGGACCCCAAATAGGCCCTTGTTCCCTTATTTGGGGGGTTTAGATTCCTGTAGAAGCCCCTTTGAAGCCTTCTCATTTGTAGGTTTAGGGTTTAGGGTTTAGGGTGAACCCTGAACTGCAGGATTCCTCCTCGGAGGGCCCCGAGAGTCCACGGTTTAGGGTTTAGGGTTTAGGGTTTAGGGTTTAGGGTTTAGGGTTTAGGGTTTAGGGTTTAGGGTTTAGGGTTTAGGGTTCGCACCCACCATGCCCCCGCAGTTCTTCCCCTGGTTCCGGGAATCGCAAGCTTTAAACCCTTAACCCGAAGGTGCCCTGAGTCCAAGTAGCCTACCAGTTCTGAGTTGGTGAAGTACGGATTTAGGGTTCAGGGACTTCGGGTTTAGGGTTTTGGGGTTTTGGGAGGGTTCCACCCTTTTTTGGGGGTTCCCTGAAACTCCCCAATTCCTACTAGGGCGGTCCCTTTTTCGGTGCCCTATGTTCTACGGCACACTTAAACTAACGAAGGACCCCAAAAGGGACCCTAATTTAGAGAACTAAGTCGAATTGCCGGGCCATCTACCCTTCATCCCGAAACCCTGACAAACCCTAAATCCTAAACCCTAGACCCTTTCAAGGGGAACCCTAGACCCTTGTACCCTTTCAAGGGGTACTTGGGGGGGGGGGGGGGGCTTGGCGGTTTTTTTGGGGCACTTCGAGAGCCCCTCCCATGCCTTAAAACCACAAACCCGTAGGGTTTAGGGTTCAGGGTTTAGGGTTTCGGGTTCAGGGTTTAGGGCTTCAACCTGTCAACCCGAAGCCCTCCGGCCAAAAAAAATCCGCAAACCCTAAGCCCCCGCAAGCCATAAGGGGTATAAGGAAGGGCCCTTAGTCTTATTCCCCTCTATAACCCCTACATTATATACAACATATTTAATAGAGTCCCTATATGTACGTAAGTAGCCCCCAAATAACCGCCAAATAGCCCCTAAGTTCCCTGATGAGGGTCCCTCCTTTAGCCCCTTAAACCCGAAACCCTAAACCCTAAACTTTCAACCCAAAACCTCGCGGAGCAAAGGCCCTCCTGCGCGGGGCCGTCTCGGATGTCGCCGGAGTCGCTGCTGGCGCTGTGGACATCGCTGCTTGATCATGAACGGCTTAGGGTGTAAGGTTTGGGGTTTAGGGTTTGGGGTTTAGGGTTTAGGATTTCGGGTTTAAGGTTTGGGGTTTGGGGTTTGGGGTGTCGGGTTTTAGGGTTTAGGGTTTGGGGTTTAGGGTTTAGGGTTCAAGGATCCGGGTTTACCAGTAGGGTTTGGTTCAAGGTTTTTTTGCTTCAAGCTCTAAGAATTCCAGGGAGGGTCGACATGTTACACGAAGTTTGTGCTTTGCCCAAGGCAAAGCCTGATCATGAAGGGCCTAGGTGTTGGGGTATGTATATGTATATATATATATATATATATATATTTGTATGTGTGTATATATATAAATGCTTTTATATACACATATATATATGTGTGTATACATATATATATATATATATCAATATCAATATATGCTTTTTGCCAGCCGAGGTTCCCACCCGGGTGGTCGAACAACAGGTTGTAGGGTCTGGGGGTCAGGGTTCGGGATGTTTTTTGGCTCAGCGCGCGGCCTCGCCCCACAAGTATTCCCGATGCCCCCTAAGCCTAGATCTTTTAGAGCCGCCTCTCTGGAAGCCATGTGTTTAGGTTTAGGGTTTAGGGTTTAGGGTTTAGGGTTTTGGGTTTTGGGTTTAGGGTTTAGGGTATAGGGTATAGGGTTTAGGTTTAGGGTTTAGGACTTGAGGCCGAAGATTAAATCCCAGACATGTACGGGAGATGGCCGGTGCTTCGCATGGTGTCTGGCGGGGTGGGAGGGGGACACAAGGGAAGCCCTAAACCCTAAACTCTAAACCCTAAGCCTTAAAACCCGAGCCCGATGCCCTAAACCCTAAACCGTAAAGCCCTAAACCACAAACCTAAACCCCAAACCCTAAACCCCTAAACCCCTAAACCCCAAACCCCAAACCATGAACCCTAAACCCTGAACCCTATGACTTGAGGAACTGGTCAATGCCTCCAACGCCTCCGCGCGGCGCCTGGCGTCCGGTCTGGTCGCCGTCGTGACCATCAGGCCGGCGATGGATGGACGGTTTGGGGTTTAGGGGCTTAGGGTTCAGAAGGGCCTAGGGTTTAGGGTTTGGGTTTGGGGTTTGGGGTTTGGGGTTTGGGGTTTGGGGTTTGGGGTTTGGGGTTTGGGATGCGGATCAAAAAAGTTTATTTAGGATCAAGAAAAATTTATTTAGGATCAAAAAACAATTTATTTAGGATCAAGATCAAAACTGTTCTGTTCTTCCGACGGAGAGAGGGAAGGGGAGGGAGGGAGGGAGAAAAGGAGGGAGCGAGGGAAGGAAGGGCGGAAGGACGGAAGGAAGGAAGGAAGGCAGGAAGGAAGGAAGGAAGGAGGGAAGCAAGCAAGCAAGGAAGCAAGCAAGGAAGGAAGGAAGGAAGGGAAGGAAAGGAAATGAAAGGACAGGAAAGGATATATAGGAAAACATAACATAACATCATATGTCAGAATATATATATATATATAGATATGTGTGTATATATTTAAACAAAGTATAGCAAAATATTGTAGTGGCATAGAGTAGAATAGAACACAATATCGTATAGTATGCCTTTGTATCATAAAAATATAATAGAATCGAAAGAACAAAGCATATATGTATATATTATATATTTACTGTTATTTGATATAGAATTCAGAATACACAATACATATTTCTTGTTTGTTTGGCCCCCGGGCAAGCTTCTTCAACGCGTATGAATCCCTTCCAAACCCATGATGCGAGCATTGTGTTTGCAAATGGGGGGGGGGGTCTGCCCCCCCCTTCAAACCCCCCGCTGTTTTTTAAAGCCGGGCAAGCTTGCTTCAAAGCATATGAATATCCTTTCCAAACCAATGATGCGAACGTTGTGTTTGCAAATGGGGGGGGGGGCCCCCCCCCCCCCCCCCAACTCCCCCCCGCCCCAACCCCACCCCCCCCCGTGTTTTCTTAGTCCGGGCAAGCTTAATTCAAAGCACATGAATCCTTCCAATCCCATGATGCGAGCACTTTTTGCAAAAATACATGAAGGCACAATAAGATACAATGGTATACAAGAACGTATTACAAAAAGATGCAAAAATGTACAATAATACACAAAAACACAACAAATACAAATATGTACAAGAATATGCAGCAATATACACGTAAACAGGAGTAACTTAGAATAATTTTCAGTAATTGACAAGAATATTCAATAATACTTTCCACAATACTATGCCAGAATATACATGCGTCAGAGTATATGCATTTTTTTGAAACTTCTAATGCCAAGATGCCAGCATTGATTTGCAGCCTCTGCAAACTCAGAAATGCTGCAGTGTACAGTATTTCCAGCCTCCGAAATCGCAGAAATGCTGCTATTTTCAGTATTTGCAGCCTCTGGAAACTCAGAAATGCTGCAGTGTACAGTATTTCCAGCATCTGAAAGCGCAGAACTGCTGCTATATACAATATCTGCAGCCTCTCTGGAAACTCAGAAATGCTGCTATTTTCAGTAGTTCCCGCATAAATGCTTTTTTTTTTTGCGGTATTTAGAGCTTGCTAACAGCCAGAAATGCTGCATTTCTGAGCGTTTACAGCCTCCGCTCCGCGTGCAAGAAGCCTTCGAAGCCTTCAGTAAATTATTTTTTGATCCCAAATAAGATTTTTTTGATCCGCCTAGAAAACATTATTTCTTGATCCCAAATAAATGTTTTTTTGATCGCCTACCCGGCTTTAGGGTTTAGGGTTTAGGGTTTAGGTTTAGGGTTTAGGTTTAGGGTTTGGGGTTTAGGGTTTGGGGTTTAGGGTTTTTGGTTTGGGGTTTGTGGTTTGCGGTTTGGGGTTTGGGGTTTGGGGGTTTGGGGTTTGAGGTTTCTGGTTTGGGGTTCGGTCGGACAAGCGTCGTTCGATGAATGAAGCAGGGCGTTGCCTACCGGGCTGACACAAGTGAAATAATCTACGCCTTTATAAGAATGTTGGGGTTTGGGGTTTGGGGTTTAGGTTTCTGGGTTTATGGCGTTTGTGAATGTTGCTTTTTGGGTTTATCAGTTTCTATCATGTGATCCGACCATACTGCCGTCCGGGATAAGGGCACTCAACCGTCAACCCCTAAACCCCGAACGCGACCCCCAAACCCTTAAACCCCCCAAATCCGCCCCCCCCCCCCAAAAAAAAAAAAAAACACTCTCAAAAACCCTAAGCCCTAAA